CGGCCGCGGAAAGGCGCCCCGGGGGGCGGGGGCGGCGCGGGGCCGCGCATCCCGGTGCATCCCCCGCGCATCCCCGGGAGCGCATCCTCGGGAGCGAACCCCCGGGAGCGAACCCCCGGGAGCGAACCCCCGGGAGCGCATCCCCGGGAGCGCATCCCCGGGCGGCTCCCGGCGCGGCCCCGAGTCCCACCTGCCGCAGGCCGCGGAGGGGGCCGGGCCCGCCGCGCCCCGCGGGACGGGGCTGTTCGCCCGTGCCCCGCACCCTCGGGAGCTACAGGTGTGTTCGCTCCCCGCGGGGTCCGGCCCCGGGCCCGGCCCGCCGCCTCCGGGTGGCTCCCGGGGCGACTTTCGCCCCGCACGAACAACTAGAAACGCGCGGTGTCGATGAGAACCGTCTGAGCGGCTCGTGTGGAATCATGGCCAGCAAAGCCACCTAAATCAAATTAGTCGGTTAAAATGTGTGGCCTGTAGAAAGGGGAAATATTTAAACATTTCTACTTAGCCAGAATTTCCATCAACTTCTCTGTGTTTTCCTGTCAAGGTGTGTTTGCTGATTATGCAGCGGTTCAGCCAGGACAGCATTCTTCGGCTCTGTATTTTGATTATCAAAAGCAGAATGAACGTAGTAGTGGCTTTTCAAGCACAGTAATTAGTTTCTTTTAAAGTAACTGACAGCATTTACCTACTCCAGCCATCCAAGTGTAAACTATAATGCTTTTAAACTTGGATTTTATTTAGAAGTTCTGTTGGAATTATAAAGTGAGGATTTAGAAAACACATTCCTTTTGTCCATGAATCTGTTTCCTCTCACCTTGGAAAGAAGTTCTTAAGAAACATCATACTGAGGGTGGTAGACACACAGCTGAATACTTGAAACTACCATTGTTAATGGGAAAAGACTTGTTTCAAGTAAAGTGAAAATATTTTCTAGTTTATCATACAAATAAAAAATTTAGACTATTGACAAACATTTCTCTATAATGTGTCAACTTTAGTCTGACACAGTGGAAGAGATACACAATAATTTGTTACCCGCTTTGAGAAGAAGTCTTAATAGATAGTTTGAGTGCTGGGTCTAATAAATAACTGTTATTCTGGGGAGTTCCATGTCATTTTATAGACACTTAGAGGAGGTACTTCTTACCTGCCTGATAAATAAATCATAAAATATGAATAAAAACAAATAGTATCTCTTAGTAATTCCCGCTGTCCAGAAAATGAAGGACTGTGTATTGTGACTTGGCTACAATATTCTCTTTTTATTAGTCTGAAAATTACCCACTCTGTAAGCAATGACTCAGTTGATTGGGCATATCTTACAAAGATACTTTACTTACAAATTGAATCTTGGAAGGTTGTGGTTCCAGAGTCGGGGTTTTGGGGGCGAGATGAGCTTATGTTTTATCCAACTGGCCCACAAAGTCCCGCTTTTGGTGGTCACTTTGTTCTGCAAAAGAAAACTGCACATTATGGCTCTTACACTGGACATTAAACTTAGTAGTAAACTACTGCTGCACTTAGTAAAAGGCTGCTACACTTTAAATAAATAATCATGTTCTAACTGTAATGTTGTCTTTAGTGATAAAAAGTGGATAGAAAATATTATCATTTCAAAAGTTAAACATAAAAGCTTTCTAGCTGTTGGTGGTGTTTTTCTCTTAAAAAGCCAGCAAAAGATGAAGAAAAAGTTGTCTTTCAAAGAGTGGTCACTCAGTACAGGTGAATTGAGAGAAAAGGAAGTCCCTAGAAAAGAGAGGCAGTTTAAACCTTGAAAACATATAAGCACTGGTAACATTTGTACTGTCAATCCCCTTCTCATTTTTTTTGCTCACAGAGTATTCAGTTTTAACGTATCTCTTCAGCTGTTTCTTTATGTTTGTCTGCTTGTGTGTCTCCATGTGTACAGTCTGTATCTATGGATCAATTTAAAGACTACTAATTTTTATACTGGTAAAAGTTATAGGATATATTTTTATGAGTAAGGCACTGTAAACCTGAGCTTGGTAGAGCAGTTTAAGTTCATGTTATTATTTACATTTTAGTATCGATGTCCTAAAGAATTTAAGTATAATTTTTACTCAATAATTACATAGCTGTACTTTCCTCATGGGATTCTAGGAAGTGTTGAAAATGACAGTAGGTACAGTGGACTTTCTATGGTTCCACATACACTGCACAGATGTTTAACACTCAAGGAAACACAGGACACTCACACAGTGTAATTTCTACAATGGCTCTTGTGTGCAGCATGTGCACACAAAATACACACAGGAGCATCCTCTCAGTTGGTGTAAACGTGTCTGTCATAGTTCTGACATTTTATGCCAGCTAATCACCTCCTTAAGTTACACATTAAATATCTAGACATTCACATTGTGGTCACATTGTCACTGCAGTCAGATTAATTTTAAGTGCTGACCTATTCAGACTGAACCAATTTGAATATTTCAAAAAGGCCTGGAAATTCAGCTGAAGTTACCCAGTGATACACTGTTCAAGTAAAGTTGTTCTACATGTCTATATGCAGGATCTATACATTTATGCAAATGGATATCAGGATGAATTACCAAGATTTTTCTGTAGAATTCTGACACTTTACATTTTATAGCAATACAATCTCTACACAAGTGAAATAGGACATATCCAAACCTCAGTGCAACAAATTCCTCACTTGTTTAAGACCAAAATCTGATTTGGAGTAACTTAGGTCAGAATTGTGCTGCTAATATGCCTTTTAGCTACTGTTCTGCATGAAATAATGCTGTTCAAAGGCAGCACTTATGAAAGGTTAAATTTTCATGAGCCAATTAAGCTATGAACTTAACTGTAGAATTTTTTCAGTTTTGAATTATAGTTTGTGAATACATTCCAGACCTGTCCAGTCTTACAGGTTGTCAGATCTGTATTGGTTTAACTCCCCTGGTCTCTTCACCAGGATTCTGAGAACATAAGAGCAGAAAATCAGAGATTAGAAAGTGGATCAATATGAGGATCTTTAAGGGAAAAGAGAAACAAACCTACATACCCGAACAGCAGCAAAGATCAGCTGAAATACAGTAGTTGCTTCTTACCAATTGTTACTTTGAAGATCTTAAATTAAAACATGTAATTTTGCACAGTTACTTTCAGTAAGATGTGCTTTAAGTAACACACTTTGCTGATCAGCTATTTTTAGATTATTTTTTAAAACAGGTTCTGTTTGATTCTCTATTGATGATATATAAAATTAACATGCATTCCTGCTAGCACCAATAACCCAGCTGTAGAATTAATGCACTATTTGAATGATTAATGAGCAGTGTTAAAGAACACAGTTACACTTCTCTAGGCCTTCCTCATACAACACTTTTATTCACATTTTTCCCCTTTCCTGAGCTTACAGAAGCAGCTCCTGTTTGTCTCTGGTGTGCAGTAAAACAGACAATTTTCTACTACCGTGGATATCACGCATGTATTTTAAACTTTAAAAGTGTGTTTATTTTCTATGTGTTATTTAAATTGATGATGATTAGACAAAACAGTGATAGATGCCCTAAACATCTGTGTTATAAAAATTGGCTCTCTTTCCCTCACTCTGGTTTTTCCCCCCAGGTTTGCGTGCAGCTTGGGGTGGTGGCCTCAGAGCTGAGACTCCTGAAGTGCACTGTGTATCCAGAGCATTAATAATTAAATACCTGGGATCAGTCTATCTTGCTATTTGTAATGAAAAAAAAAAAGAAATTGACAGAAGATAAAAAGTAGATGGTATGTTTGTAATAAAAATTAATTTTTCTTGAGGTAAAAAAATGTCATGAATTATTGAAAAAATAATGTTTAGAAATATCAGGCCCAATTATTTATTGCATTTATAATTTATAAAATTGAAAGCCCTACCAGCTCTCTTTCTATTTAAAATAAATTTAAAACTACATTTTTAGAATTACTTTTCTGCATTTTTAAGCAAACCTTTAAAAAAAAAACCAGCTTACAAACACACTGAATCAGCAGAGGATTATCAAATGGCCTAATCTGTTTACTTTTGAAATTTTATTGAAAGCAGTGAAAAGATCAGGATCTCCACCAGAATCCAGTGGCATGGCTGGGGATTGGTTTGTGGCCTGCATTTTCTGAAGCAGGGCCTCAACCTTTGACATCTCCTGACCTCGTGTTGCAACAGAAAAGTTTTGTGACTCCCCTCTGATCCAGCCACAAAAAAAGAGAGAGAGAGGTAACGACCTCGAGTTTGGAAACTCATGACCTGGAACAACTAAAAATTTTGCCTTAGTAAAGGCTACAAAATCAGTCACCCCTTCCTAGGAAGCCATCCAGAGTTTTTTCCAGGGCAAGAGCACAGACACCCAAGGGCTGATTTTTAAATTGTGCCTTGTCCTTGTCTCCCTGCTGCAGTGTCAGCCACCAGCACTGCTTGCCTGTGTAAAACCTGGACCTCACACCACAAAGAAAATCTATGTGAACACACAGCTGTGTGTTCAGGCATAATTTTGAAAGACATCATTCGAAGTATCATTTTTTATTTGCCAAAAAAATCATATTTCATAGGTTATGAAGCAAAAAAAAAAATGGATTTTTTAAAATTGCTTTAAAATGTTAGTGGAAAAACACTGCTGTCACCTGGTAGCTGCACCTGTAGTGAAAGAAGTGGTAGAAAAGTAGTTGTAGGACATGAAATGCCAAATCCACTCCAGACCACGTGGCTTGAAGCTTCTGGTGAAATTATTGAATTGAAAGCATCATTTGCCCAGTTTTCACAGCATATCAGTTAATAAATGCACTGATGTCTTGCTGCAATGTCATATGCAAACAATGCAGATGTGGAGGGAATTTGGTAAAGGATATAAACATGGAAAAAACAAAGGATCAGGTGTTTTACCTGTTGTCAAAATGCCCAAGTAATTCCTGTTTCTGAGGTTTCTTTAGGTGTTGTGTGAATGGATAGGCCTTATTCAGCTTGTGGATTTTTTTCAGGACCTTTCTATAACATCCACAGAGTAAATAAAGATAATAGAAGCAGGACTCACATGTATTACTGAGGTGACTTGCTTTGTGAGCCAGCTGACAGGACTACATGTCAGCAGTTGGCATCAGAAGGTTCCCCCTGGTCTCTCACTCCCTGCTGGATATAAAGCTCTTCAGTTACCAACATTTTATTTTTTACACTGGAATCAGGATTCTCTACAGGCAGGCTCCAGAGTTTTTTTTCTTTTCCTGTTTGGAGCATACTTGCTCTTAGTTGAGCCCAAAAGTCTTAAAAATGATACATCAATTCTATCTAATTTCCTAATATACCAATTACTTACACTGTGGATGCACGTGAAAAACTTTAAACAAAACTATTTTGATCTTTCAGTTAATACTGCTGTAATATTTTAATTTAGCTGTTAATGAGGGAGACTACAATTCACCAGTGTAAAGTAGTATTGATGCATTTTTGCTGTTTAAAGCATCTAAGCTTCAGTCAGACAGACCAAATCCTTTCACGGAAATCATGGCCTTTCTATAGGAACCAATATAAAATAGTCTCTAAACACTGATTTTTATAAGTAAAACTTTTCTTTTGTTTGTAGGTCAGGATAAGAATTAAAACAAAACACACACACAAAAAGGACCAAATGTGTTCTGTCATCTACAACAAGGCCCATATAAAGGGCTTTAGGAAAGGTTGAGAAAAATCCATTCGGGATGTTCCAGGATTGCCCACATGAGCCAAGAAAAATAAGTGAATGCAGTAATTGCACTGAAGGGGCATTTCTATTTGTTATGGATTGCTACTGTTAAAATGGCTATTAAGGTCAGCAAAATCCAGATTTTTGCTTTGATGCTGCTGCTGTTTGTATTAAAGCTTTCTTTTGTAATCCAAGGCCTATTTGAAATCACACAAACTGCACACACCTCTGTCAGTAGGTGCCTGGATGCTGCTGTCAGTCAGAAGGATCTCCACTGAATTCACTGGACCTGCATCCATAAAAAATGCAAGTGAGATCACATGAAAATTTCTGGAACCTGAGGAAAGAATTGGGTTAATTTTTTATTATATTTTAACATGAACACAGAGCAAAATGTATTACACAGCCCATCCTATTAAATAATATATGAGGAATTGGGCATTGCTTTTTTTCAGTGATATATTTTATACCTTATGGTACAAGAATCTGTGAAGATTATGTCTGTTAGGTGCTATTAAATGTGGATTATTTTAAAATAGTAACTTTGGGCATGTCAATTGAATAGGCATAACTCAGAGTTCAAATGTGCTACCTGTTTTACTAAGGATATTTATAAATATTGAGTATTCAGTCTTTCCTAAATTGGGATTCCTCTTTGTATTTTTACTCTGAGTGGTCTTTCTGTATGTATAGAAAACTGCCTAGGGAGTTGGAAAATGTCTTTAAATTCTTTACAATGAAAGTTGCTATATGATTCTATTATGTATAATTTTCTTCTATGAACTAATGTTCACTCTGTCACTGAAGTATCCTTAAAAATAAGAAATGCAGGTCAATGGTTAATGATGGTTTTTCTGTTTTATTTTTTGCTTTTGGGGGGCTGAAAGAAGAAAAATTGTCCTGTATTGTCTGGGCTTCCTGCAAAATGTTTTGCACTTCCCAATACCAACAGAATTTCTTAGAATGTTGCCTAAGAATTCACTTTGTTGAATGGACAGGACCATTTTATACATTCAGAGCAATGACTTAGAGGCTGTTTGAAAAACTACAATTTTCCTGTGTAGTGAACTAACAGAAAATGATGAAATCCTGAGGTATTGTTGGAAAGTTGTTCTAACTTAAAAATCTTCTCTTTGTAGTTTCATTTTTGATGTTCCACAGCATTCACCACTTCCTGCATGGCTCTGAACCGCAGGGAAAATGAGGGACTTTTGGGGGCAGATGTGTTTCCTTTACACTATCATAATGCCCCTAAAAATCCTTATTGCTCTTGCAGTATTCTTCTGTGTTACTGGGCCTGGTGAGAACTACTCGAAGACCTGGCTTAAAAATACAGCTTTTCTCTAAAAACACTTTAAAAACAGCACTGAGTTTTATTTTGTTTGTCTTATATTATTTTTAGTTGTGTTTACTGCTGCTTAAAATATAAATGGCAAGATATGCAACCACCTGTTGGTAAACAAATGTCATAAGTCATAAATCCAAGGGACATGCTGATAACTGCATGGTATTATGAAGAGGGATATATTTTAGCTTAAGAGTGAGAGCTTCATTCTTTTGGTACAATTAACTTGGTTTTAACATAAGAATTTAGCATCTGTGTCTCTGAAAAAATGACAGACATTTTGCAAGCTGACTTGAATGACTGCTCAGGTGGACCTCAGTTAGAATATTGATTTTAGAAACATGCATCAGGTCATTTATCAAATGCATGGATCTGTCCAGTACTTTTATTTAAATTAAATGTACCCAAATACCCAAGTTTTCATACAGTCCCAAAATAAAATTATGATTAAACCTAGAAAAGATATTGTGGGTTCTCAGCTGTTCTGTGCTCATCCAACTCTAAAGGTCTTTGTGTGGGCATTCCTCTTGCTGAGAGGCTTTTGAGGGAGGTGGGATGGCCCAGCCTCTTGGGAATGCTGTGTGGCTCCTCTCCCTGCCCCTCTGGGTGAGCGTGAGAGAACTCCAGGGATCTCCTGGGCACAGTTTATTCCTGTTGGGTGACAGGTTCCCCTGGAGCCTGCAGTTTTCCAGTTCTTGAAGGAGGAGGCAGAACACACCCCCGTAAACAGGGTTTGTTTGTGCCTGGGTATTTCAGCCCAATATATCATCAGTTTGACATGTGCAGCGCTGGTAACATTTATTTCAGTAGCTGTGTGTGGGACAGCACTGTCACTGCTTTGTGTTAAATGGACTCCTGACTCCATTGACGAGCTGAAAAGAAATAATAGATGGTGTCACTTCGTCCCTCTGACACGGACTACTGATATCCTTAAAGAGCCTCCAAAATACTGGGTGACACAGGAAAGAAACTAACTGGGTGGCTTCACCCCCCCCTTTTATATTAAAGTTTAATCTCCAAGCAAATGCTCTTCATTCTACTAAAGGACTGTGTCTCATTTTTCAGGCAAGAAAACCTTACAGGTCAAGTCATGTCCTACAGGTCACAAAGTGGACTTGCTGTTACAGCTGAAACTCAGAACTTTTGATGCCAAATAAACACCACAATAACAAGAATGTTCCTTTCTAGGAGGACTGAACAAGCAGTGTTGAACAATATTGTACTCACAGGTCAAAACACACTGGCATATGCATTCTTACAAGGTATTAAATTAATCAATTAAATTAATCGTAATTGTAAAGTTTTTGGCATGTTTTTTTTTCTAACCATGCAAAAGTGCATGTTCAGCAAACTTTTTATTTCTAAGTCACATTCCTTAGGTAAAGACTCTGCATCTAATTGGAAATGTAAAAAAAAAAGGCATGAGACAGCATATATTCTATGGAGTTCTGCAGTGTTAAGATCAGTGAAGGGAGTACTCCCAGAGCTACAAAATGTGTCACCTTGCTACAGAAGACCTAATATGAACAGATTGGAGTTTTAATTACTTTTTAAAAGTCTTTTGGGGGCTATGCTAGTCACAGGATGATATAAAGAATACTGTGATGATAGATTTGAGCACTAAAAATGATCTAATTTTGTATTTGTCCTGTGTCAGCATCTTATCTTACACATAATCTTTCAAGGATATCAGAATTAATTTTTTTTCCTAATGTAAGCAATCTTTCATAAAATTTCTTACCTGCATAACTTGTAGGCTTCAACAGCTGATTCTTGCATACAAAACTACTTGTATACATCCAGGCCAGAGCAAAAGTCAGGTTCTTTCTGAACATGTGCTCTGCAAATACATAAAAATATATTTATCATATGACATTACTATCAAGAAAAATATATGGTTAGAGCTAGAAATTCTGAGATTAAATTCAAGGAAAAGAATCAAAATAATTAATACTAAATTCCAGTCCCTTTTATATCTAAGAGGAATCACCTGACATACATTTGTCATTTTTTTGCACATTTTTATCACTGAAGAATAAGCATCAGAAAAGAGAGCCAAGCACATGTTTCGAGATGTATATTTAAGCTCTTGAATTCAAACACTTGCTTCAAGTTGTTTATTTTAAGTATTTAAATCATTTTGGTTTGAAATGGTATGTCACAAAAACCTCTGGATCTGATAGAGCCCCAGAGGAAGGCCTGCAAAAGTCATCTGTAAAACTGTCCACTGAAGCTAAAAGCACTTTGGGAATAGGCTGGGAGTAACTTTCAGTATTAAACATTCTGTAAAAGATAATTTTTTTTCTCTGGTCGTTTTTTAAATATGAGCAAAGCAAAGATTTCTATTAGCCTCTTCTTAGGGGTTTCGATTTCTTTTAATTATAGGGCCAAGAGACATTAACCAAGAGACAAATTGCTCTAAAAGTTAGAACAGTAGCAAGTAGGTAATATTTTTCAAATAGAATTTCCACAGTGGAAAAGATATTAGGTATTTGCTTTGTGCCAAGAACTGAGTAATATGAGAATGCTTTTATTCTTTTACAAAATGGAAGAGTATTAACAGCATTTCAGTTTTTTGTTATATATATATTTTTTATTTTTTTATTATATATAAAATTCTTGTGATTACCAACAGTCTCCTAAGAGATAAACAAAAATAGCAGAAAAGATATCCAGTTATTAAATAGGCTGAATAAAAGAAACCAGTCTCATTTATATATTGAAGAAACCCATTATTATCTCAAGTTTTGAACATTGCCTCAACTGTATGTACACTATTTAAATGTTATTTAGACTACAGAATTAATTTGTTGCCATCGATGGCTGATTAAAGAAGTGTAAATGGTTTTGTTTTCTTCTCCTTAACTTTTGAATGCATGCAAACAATTTTATTCCCATATTTAAATCACCAGTGCCAAGATTGTGACTGAAGTGGATCTTTATGGTTGTATTTTAAACAAGTGCAAGTGTCAGTTAGGAAGCACAGTGCTGACAGAATCTCAGTTAGAGCTGGAAGGGCATACAGGAATCATTGTAAGTTAATAAAGATCGTTAAAGGAAATCACACATTTCATAATCATCAAGATAGATAATATGACCTATTTTACACTTAAGCAATTAAAAGATGAAATATTTGGAGATGATTAATTTCTCCAGTAGTTAGACTTAACAGGTGATATTGCTCAAGAAATAATCTACTGAGAAACTCAATTCTTAATCAAAATTGGGTTTTGGTTGATTACTGGGTATTGGTTTGGTTTTTTAAAGGAAAAGCCACTTTAAAATTTTCCTTACTTTTCAAATGACAAATAGTATTTTGTATATTCTTTTAAAAATGACATCTACAGCCTTGTTGTGACTGCTGACTGAGGCCTTTGGAAATCTCGATAATGAGAGCACCATAAATATCAAACTAGATTGCAGCAGGTTAATTTTGAACAGAGGAAGCAATAGGATATTCATAGACAAAGCCAGGGAATCTGTGCTAGTCATTTTTGGAGTTCTGAACTAATCCGTAACAGAACTATCCCATGACTGCTGTTGGCAGTAAGGAGAACTGAGTGAGCCCAGAAGATCCCCAGATTGTAGTTTGAATCAAACATAGACTTTGTGGTATAATCTGGGCTCATAGTCAAATAATCTAGATTCAGTACCTTGATAATTCATATAAAATCATCTTATCTTAGAAATTTATTCTAACTTGTAACAGAATTTTATTCTTTTAAAACTCTGGGTGTATTTAAAACCAAAAAGGGAAACAAACCCCTTCTTAGAACATATCTGAAATGAAAATTATAGAGTTCTTGTTCCAGTCTGAGCATGTTGCATCAAGGGGTGCTGGATTCAGGGTCTGGGCCCTGATTGCCCCCTGGCCAGTCACAGGAGGGTGGAAAATGCCCTGACTAGAACCTAAACCAGGTAAGGTACTGCAGGCACTTCACCTGTCAGAGGCAGCAGTGCAGCTCCCACCTCATTTCAGAATGCATTTTAATCTGGAATAGTCAGCTCTGGCCTACAACACAGTATCTCTCTGTACCAGCTCCATTGCTATCCTCTCCTTTCCAGATTACTCAGTTAATAAACAGAAAATTCCAAGAAATCAAGAAAGGCCCACCCCAAAGCAGAGGTAGCTCCTCCTGCCAGAAAGTGAGGCCTGAGGCCCCTGATAACACGCAACCCTCCTGCAAACACCCCGGCGTGGGGTCAGGGGGCAAAACTGCACCCACGAGGCACCACAAGGCTCTCGATTTCCTCCTAAAGCAGGACCCTGCACGCGTCCAAAGCCGGGGGGGTCACACAGCCCCTGGAGCAGGAGAGGAGTCCGCAGGGTGGGCTGGGAGGGGACAGCGGGTCCCTCCCGCAGGGCCGCCGGTGCCTCTGTCCTTTGTGCTGCAGCGGGGCCGCCCAGCGCACACAGCACACTCACTGCGCTCCCCCCGCTGCCGCTTCGGGGGCTCGCTGACCTTTAATCAGATGTCACCCCCAAGACAGCAAAGAGATGGTGAACTGCTGCCTCGGGAGTTTCATCCCACTTAACAAAGAAGATTAAGGAATCTTCTTTGTCACTGTTAATAGTGGGATTGAAAAACTGCCCGCAACTGTGGCTGGCAGACAAAACAAACTTTAACGACAAAATTTTAACTGATTTCACTACGAATTAAGATGAGGAGAGCAGTGCACTTGAACAGCAAATCTGCAGAGTATATTACAATACCTGTAATAGCAAATTTATCTTAATGCAAAAAAAATTAACATTTCTAATGAAGCATATTAATTGGGTGGTATTTACATTATTATATATTCCAAGGATATATTCTCACCTTCTCACAGAGAGCACAAAACTGTATTTTCCCATTCTACCTGTGGAACATTTAAAAACACTTCAGTACTTTACACTAATGCACAAGAATACTACTGTGTTATGGCAGAAACATGGAGCTTTGAACCTATTTGGGAGATAGACTTTGTTTCTCTTCTGTGATTCTGCATCTCCAAGTCCTATCTATGTGTTTAACACTGAGGCATTAAAAGGTTGGAAAGAACAAATAATAACTTTAAGGTGCTGCACCTTATGTTGGAACATTTTTTAGTCTGTAGATAATTATTACCAATCTTAGAACACCAAAAAATTTGGGCTGAAAAAAACAATTTTGGGAACAAACAAAAAAACAGAGTAAACCAAAGTCTCTAGACTGCAGGCCACTTGCCAGCTCTTCTCACAGGAACTTTCAGTTCTGCTGCTTGCTTTGAGTGTAGCAAAAAGATAAACATTTTCTTGTTGCAAGTGAAAAAACACTGCCATGCATGACAAGTTGATAAGCACTATCGGCAGTTTATTAGTTCATTGGAACCAGATACAAAAAGTGGTGGAAAGTTTTGATATGTTACTGAAAAAAGAAAAATAACTGGTCAATGCCCACAACTATTGTGCTGAAAAAAGGTTTCCTATTCTTAGTAACTGAAGTTTTCACTGCTATAGACAATTTTGCTTTCTGTTTGCAGTAAATTCCTCGGTGTATCTGCCTCCTTTGTATCCCTTGCACCACTATGTGGTGGGTCTGTATTTCCAGGTGGGACAGATACAGCAGTCTAAATTCTACACTGATAAGTAACTATGTTCAAGTCATGGCACAACAGGCAGAATTTGTTTCAGTGACTTAGTTATGTTAAAAATAAGCTTTTTCTGCTCTAGATCTTTTCACATTAACTGCAGATATTGGGATCTTATTGCTATGTTTTTGCCTGTTGTAGTTATTAAAAATTAAACATAGTGTATGTAGATATGGTACAAAATAGGTGCTATGATAGGTCCTGCTACACACCTCTATTTAGCACTTGCCTGATTAAATTCTTGTCTGATTATTTTTCTGCTGTTGGCCTATGTGCCTTACAACAAATTGGTAGTGTTTGACTCTTGATATTGTCACCAAATCTGTATCTGTACTAAGATCTGCCAAAGTAAATATTAAAAATCCTGCCATACATCCCAAATGTCACTTTTAGTTTCCCTTTTGTAAGGGTATGCAGCATAGTATAAACAAGGGGAAACAAAGAGATAAGGCAGTGATGTAGTATCAGGGTTTACCAGCCAAACTTGGATGTGGGTATATTAATCACAGATGATAAAAACATAAGGAAAGAGGTTGCAGGTTTCAGGAAGAGACTTATATCCTACACTGTAATGACTTTTTGTATCATTTATTTTGTTGAACAATTATTTTAGAAAAGTTTTCATGTTTTTTCTTACAAAAGTAACCATGCTATTTCATAGCCCTTTTCCCCCACTAAGACAGGCTTTTAGGCACCATTGACGTTTGTGGTATGCCAATTTTTATGGCTCTAGAGAAATAACAATAATACACTTAGGAGAAAATTGAGACACATTATGTCTGGAAAATGTTGTTACACTCCGTCAAAGAAATAAGAAGAACTTATTTTAATATCCTGTCTCACAATATGGGGTAAAATGGACAAGAAAATTAGGATGGGTAGATGAAATGTATACTTTAGCACGATGTGAGCAGTGACCAGACAGCTAATATTTTCAGTTATTTGCAAGACTTCAATGATTCCCAGATGCCTGAAGTAGGGCAAGGAGGAGGACTAGGAATTTCTTCTGGATTTGATGGTTGCTTGGCGCTGTGGAATGTAGATACCTTTGCCCATTTGTATAAGAATTGTGTCCTTTGCCTTGGCTTCCCAGTGGGAGCTCACAACTGAATACACAGACAGTCTTTCAGGACTTCCTTCCTCCTTTATTGAGGGCACAGACACAGGAGATGCATGTGCAGGATGTTTATGGAAAAGAATTAGAAAGTTCTACTCTTACAGCAACTGAGTGCTCCTGAGAGTGTCACACACATGTGGATATTTGGTGAAAGTAAACACGCTCCTCTCTGTTTTGAAGGAGAAAGAGCAAAGGCTTTTTTTCCTCTGTGTTTTCAGACATTACATAAAATTCTGCTGCAAGAAAGAAATTGTTTGTGTGCAGATGCTTGGCTGCCTTGAAAATATAAACAGTTTTCTTGGTAGCATATTTATTCACCATATTAGTATTAGTCAACTAGAAGTTATTATTTTTTTAATTGAACTGCTCTCAGGCTAATAGCACAGAAGTATTGCTATTGGCATGCTAGATATTTTCAATTAATTAAGTAAATAAGTTCACTAATTTAATAAATTATTTTTCAATCAGTTATTTATTAAATTCATTTATTTAATTGCTTATGTTGGTTTCTTCTGATTCTCAAATCTAGAATATTCAAACCTAAGCAACAGACCAGACACTGACATGTACATGTAAATTCAGGAGTGGGATATGGCTTGAAATTAAAGCTCTCTTGACAGAGGAGACAGTTCCACTACTAAGAAACTGGGGCTAAGAGCAGCTCTAAAGGATTCAGAATGTGAGCAGTCTGGTAAGAGGGCCAATAAGGTGAACATTTCAATGGAAGTCTTTTGTGAGCTCAAAAGCTTCTTGCTGTGCAAAGAAATTCCTCCAAAATGTCTGTTATTTGATGGCAGCAGACCTTTGTATTGTGATAACCAGCAGATAATCTGTTTTTTTATAATCTATACTGTGATAATCAGCAGGTAACACCTTATGAAACTACTGTACCTTGACTGGGGCATGAAGAAAGCAGGATACTGATGGAACATCAGTCCACTGGATCAAGGGAATTGGTGTAGACCTGTAACAGAAATAGTAACCTGTGAGAATGCAGAAGCAAAGGAGGTATGTCCCAGATTAGCTGACTGGCTGCCTACAGGAGCATCACATTGCTTAAAGAATAAACTGTCTTTCAACTTCACACCAACAAGTTGGGTGCAGGTATTTCATAAGCTGAATAGATCACATATGGCAAGCACAGACACACCAGACAGATGGCATTTGTCTTCTGAGGTCTAAGAATACTTTTCCTTAGTTTGTGCCATAAGGAGCAAATAAAACTAAGATAAAATGGAAGAGAATACTGTCTGATAACATTTGTCTTATGCTGTGCCTGCTGGAGTTAATGTTCAGGGTAGAATAAAGTTCATATATTATAAGAGGTCACTGATTAGCACTTTAGACTCACTATCCTGCCTAAACAAGATTTTTTAACTTTTTGTAATCAAGTTCTTCTAGGTTAGGCTGGTCTCCCAAAACAAGTATCCTCTTTCAAGAAGGAACACTGATTTTAAAACAAAATTTTACCTGAATTATCTTAAAAGACTTGTTCAATTTTAGAGTAATGACATGAGACTTCAGTGGAGAATTTGCTATTTGTTCTGTTACCCTGACTTAAGTCTAGAGAAAAAACCAGACTCCCATGGGAGCTGGTACAGCATTAACTCAAGTAGTAGTATGGATGTTCACATTAACTGAAGTTTTTGTTCAGATTGTTCTGGAACTCAGAAAACACCTTAGCACCATTTAGGGGAAAATCTCTCTTCCAAAGAATTATTATCAAGCCAGTTCTAAAATGTCTGAGAGAGATAAATCTAAATCTCTTAGGACCTTTTTCAAAGAAAAGTAAAAGAAATGGTCACACAAAATTATATCTGCATATTGAAGTGTAAGTCAGCAGGAATGTAGCTAGGAAATATTTTATTGTTTTTAACTAAGAGATATTTGCATTTGGCCAAATATGTAATGTTTGAATGCAGGATTTACTTAACACTAAGTTAAAATCTTCTGAAAATAATGTAGACAATGAATGTGTGTTAAAATCTTTTTCTTATCCAAGAATTTATGTACGCTGTTCCAAATGCTGACATGGTTTGTAGTTATTGTTTTTTATTTTACAACGAAGTTCAGACAAAATCATTGAGCCATGGTATCAGTTCATTGGTCTTATCAAATCTAAATTGTGCAGTGGTCTCCAAGTCTTTTTGCACAGGAATGTAAATTCACTACTAACACAGACTGAATAGGAAAATATTCAGAAATAGGACTTTAAAGTAAAAAGAAAGCTAAAACAATGTTTATTTGCCTCCATTTAATATTTGACGTAATTCTGAAAGATTATGTAAGGATTGACTTTAATGTATTTAAGACAACAAGCTGTTGTCTCCTTTTCATTTTGGCATTGGATCTACTATTTTTGCAACACCCACCAGTTCAAGTAATGATAATGAGCTTGTGATTTCCACTGGTGACAGTGACCACAGAAATGTGGTGAGGGGGAGAACAACAACTCATTGACTGAAATGACTCCGTGTTTTTCAGAACACTCTTGCAAGAAACCTGTTGGCAAAATGAAAATTATATAACTGTTACTATTCCATCTGCATCTTTCAAAATTATTAAATTAAATGCATGAATGAAGGAAAAAGCAGAACTGTTTTATCTGTAAAGATATAAGTACATATAAAATTGTTTTCATGAATTACTTTATATGCAGTCAAATGCATAATTCTTCTTCTACAGCCAGATTTTTCTTTTGGTTTTTTTGTGTTCTTTTACATTAATGGAAAAGACATAAAACAACAGTAAGATACCAGTAGGGATTTGCATAATGTCCTGTTATATCACATCTCAATGTACAACAGAATTTGCAAAATTTCATAGTACAGGGCCTTGTATTGAATATTGCAAGACATATTTAGTGTCCAAAGGATTCCTAATTATCCATATATTTGCATAATTACTGTGAAAATTATTTCCTTCTCAATGCACAAACATTTCAAACTTTGGCCTTGAATTTTGTCACTTTTCACACACCTGCCACCCCAGTACTCTGCAAAACTTTTCAAAAACTTAATTTTTGAGAAACAAAGCATTGGCAACCTGTCAGGGAGACAAGCAAAAGAAGACATATGCATAGAGAAACAAACAAATGTGTGCATTCACAACTCACCACAAATTCATGGAGAAATAATGTGAATGGAGAATAAAAACAATTAAGAACTGCATTTCTTAATGTCTAAGTTCTCTGAGAATATCCAACATTCCTTAGGCACAAAGAATATTCGTGTTGTTCCAGCAGCTGATTTAATTTGCAATATGTGTGTCTCCCAGAGCAACAAACTGTATTTGTCTTTAGTCAATACAGTGATAACCTGAAATGTATGAGGAACTGCAGCACCACAGGCCTGACTGCACAATTAACAGGAGCTGTGCTTCAGCACTGAGACTGGATCAAAATGAAGATCTGAGTGTGTCCCATGTCACCTTTGAGAAGGTATCTCTCCTCCTACTCACACATCATTGCAGAAGTATTTAGAAAGGCACTTCTAGGACCCCTTCATTTAAAACAACAGGCCAGCAGTATTTTTTTTTTTTTGGAGGATGCATATTGGGAGCACTCCCTGATTCTGAAACACCTCATTTCAGAATGTTTTGTGGGGAATTCTGATTATTTGGTGGAGAAACTGTTGTGTAGCAATGGCTCAGACGTGGTGCACCAGGAGTACTGCAGCAGGAATTCATCTCAACGAGCTCTAGTGTTTATCTCTGCTCAAATATCAATATCTCTGCACCTAGATATCAATACCTCTGCTCTTTACCTAATGTATTTCTGCACTGATAGGAAATTACATAGAGCTCCCTTCTGAATTTCAAAAAATATGAATTAAATATGAATCCCTACAAATTTTCATGAAACTGAGACAATTGCAAGGCAATAAACCTTTGTTGGAAAGGTGCTATTTAGTTGTGCTTGTAGCCTTGCTCGCCTCAAATATAATTTGATCCTCTACATTTAAAACTGAACTTTTCCACATTGGAATTGTTTTAATAACAGAAGAGATGTGTTAGTTAGTCATTGATAGCCACAGATTATATCCCTGAGTAAGAATCCAGTCTTTATTACCATAGTAAAAGAGCTCCAAGACACAAGAATGTGGTAGCAAAGAAAGGGATCTTCCAAAACCTATGTAACAAAAGTACTATCAGAATAATTCTCTAAGTATGTGCTGCTTCAGTATGCAGTTTTTAATCATTAAAAAGTGCAGTCTTTTGTAACTTGAAGATAAAGACTTTAATGAGAATTTTTGTGAATGTATTACTTTCCTGTTAAAATACTTGGAACGCCTTGTTAATCCTAGTAAAGCAGCAAATGGCATGTAAAGATGAATGGAATTGAAGAATATAGTCTTCCTCTATAGAAAAAAAAGTACTGCACAGCTGAATGATAAGTTCTTCACAGAAAAGTAGAAACTGAGTAGAGTAATAGAAAGAATTCCTATCAAGTATGGCTAATTTAGTTCTTACTGAAGTAAAAAATGTTACAAACGTAATAAATCTTGATTAAACAATTTTTGATAATATGGGAACATTATCATACATTGTATAACATTATCTGTACTCCTATGGGTGCAATATCTATTACTACTTAATTTTTAGATTACAGCCATATTGATTGTTCTCAGCCAGGGCCTAAATTTGAGTGATTGAAATAATGACCAAACATTTCAGAATACAGGAAATGTATTGTACCAGGTTCTGCCTCACTGCAACAAATGATCATTTAAGGAGCAAGATCCAACCATTACCTATGTATATTTATAGCTACACAGATACACACACATATGGTTTGCTTTAGTGGATGTGAAGGAAATACCCCTTTTCTATAAAATCCACTTTTAATGGCTCCAGGATGATTTAACAGCGTAACCTCCCTAAAGATGATGGTCTGGTTTTGTAGAATAAGTCCAGATTCAGAGTAGAATCTTTCAAAACTCAGCAAATTCCTCTTTGAGTCCCAACTATCTCCGATTCTTGTCATATGAGAGGATGAATAACTCTTTGACAGCACCCATTTCTCTTCACTGATAATAGGGTACTCCTCAGTCATCTTGTTCATCACTGTACCTAAGTTTTAGACACCCAAAGTAAAGAGAGATTAATTATCCTTAAATTCACTATGTTCCTTAAAGGATTAAGAAATGAAAAGCCAGTACATTATTTTTCTTACATACAAGATCAGAAGAAATAGTGGAAAACAGGACTATTCTAATATTGTTTCACTGTAGCTGCCTATTCTATTTATGACACCACTTTATAAAGTGCCAAGTCTATTCATGCAACCTACAGATATTCTAAATGACAAAATAAAATTAAGCATGAATATAGAAAAAGTCAAGTATTTCTCATGCAGTAATAACTTCCACCTATAAACACATTCTAAATTGTACTAGACCAGGCTAATATCACATAAAAAATTAAGCAACTTCTCACAGAGAAGCAACATGATCAAAGATAAAGTCTAAATGACAAAACAGTTTTACTTAGTAATTGTCTACTTAAAATTACAGGCAGTAATATTTTTGTCATTATCATCATATTGATAAAACTTCAGAGAGTACAAGACTGTACATGAAACACTGTGTTGTAAAAACCCCTGTAGTATGAGGTTACAATGAAACTATTGAATTTTCTTATTTATAGAAGCCCTGCTGAAAATCAAAGTCTGCAGAAATAAGTATCTTTATCAGCTGACATCTCCACAAGGCATAGACCCATTTGGAAAAGAAGAAACTGATCTGCACAAAAGTTTAGAATATCTTCGAACAAATACATTTGTAAGAGACCATTTTGTTTCTAATGGAACACAGCAAAATGTTCTTCTGACAGAACATTTTATTCAGAGTCCCCATTTTTGTATTTTACCCTATAAATCACTTCTATAAATTATGAGTGTTACATAGGTCAGTGTGAATTATTCAAAACCAAACCTTAATCTATGGAAAAGAATCTTGATTGGAATAGGTTTTGCTTTAAAACCAGCTGGAACCCTAGACCAAATTCCCTTTAACACACTCAATATGCTTGAGCTGATTTTGGTTTCATTTCAGCACAGCAAATAGTTCTATTGACAGGTAATAACGTGAAACTCGAGACATTTTGGCCCTGATTCATGTGGAATATGGAGCATTAGTAAGTCTAAAGTGTGAGAAACTAGTATGGAAATTAAGGAGTTATCCATGCTAATATTTACATGCCAAATTATTTACCAGAATGAAAAGTTTTTGCTACATTCATGAAATACAGATCCCAAATTGTACAACTGTGCTGAACAAGGGAAGTTCCCTCTCTTACTAAATGCAGAGTGGTTAAACATTGGAGCCTGTAAATGCTGCTCGATAAAAATGGCTGGTGCTGGTCCCAGAGGAGATTCTCTCTGGAACAGCCTCTGAGAGCTGGATTAACACACTGAATAAATAAGGATGATGACCTTCTAGATATTACTACTGGCAATTTCTTTGTACTCCTTCCTCTGGAATACTCCTGTTGGTTTAGGAGGAGAGGGCTCAACAAATTAACCCCAAGCCATATGCTGAATTCCACATGCAAACAGGCTCCTTGGCTGTGTGGGGAGCTGCCACTCCCACGAGGATGTGTCTGTGTGGGGGGAAGTGTCACCCAGCTGTGTGTCTGTAAATCTGGACATCTGCCTGTCCCTTCACTCCCACCAGTGTCTGGGCTGGGGCTGCCACAAGAGGCAAAAATGAGACTGGGAATGTCCTGCTGACTCCCTTATAAAAAAGCACGTTGCCTGATAACTGGAAAACTATTTTTACCTTATTTCAGTAGTTGGACCAAACAAAAAAGCTGTTGTGACGTGTTATCCCAGAGACATATTTCAGGTACTTGCTTTGAGCTGCAGCATGCTATGAAATGACCTGCATAATCCAGAAATCATCCAGGAAAACTACACTTTTTCCTCCAGAACTTTTGGTTTATGTGTTATTTCACACTGTGCAGGACAAATACTTGATTCCATGTTTCAATGACACAAATACATATTTTCACCAAATATTTACACTCTTCACATGTGCCCATTAATAATGTACCTCTCATCCCAGCTGTAGCATGGATTTTTACCTGTAGCATGAGGTTTATCCTTAAAGCAACTGCTTAACTGAAGGGAATAATGTAAAAAGCACATTTTCAGTCCAGCCACCTTAAACAGTGACCTAAAGGAATCACTAATGGTTAGTGACAGAAAACAACTGGGTTTTAGTTTGCTACTGTTTGGCATTAAAAAGGTCTTTTAATGCTTGGATTGAAGTTTTCTGGCGAAATCTTCACTGGCTTCACTTGAATAAGTGATAACCACTTATTCACCAAAACAAATACTTACACACAATTCCATCAGAATTCCTTGGGTTTTTACCAACATGGACAAATCACAACTTACAGAGGCTTTTGCCTGAAAGGCAAACTCTGTCCTTAGGTGAAAAGTCTGCCCTAAAATGCAATAGTCTGTTTAAAACACACAGAAGAAGCCTTCGTGGTGCTCTCTGCACTTCATTTGACTGCAGCCTTCATTTGACTATTAATCTTCTAATGCCATATATACTGTAGGAAAGACATGTTAATAAAAAAGACAGCACTGACACCATTAATCATGTGTAGGAGTATATAAATACTGCAGAAATCTCTCTCACATTTAAAAGAAAATCAGCATTATAAGAATTTTCTGAGATGATTTCACTGTGGAAAAATATTTTTACTCTGAAAATATTTTTACTGAAAAATATTTTTACTTTGAAAATATTTTTACTCTTTTTTATAACCACATGATTTTAATTATCATTGTTATTTCTCTGTCAGCTTTTAGTGAAATACTTATGGATATGATATTATTGTATCTGCTCTCTATTCTGTTCGTGGGAAGGTTTGATTTAGTTAGCAATGAAGTTTGTTCCAGCTGAAAAAATGCATTTCAGCCTCTGTGTCAGAGCTTTGTAAACCTGGATTAGGTCAATCTTCAAATGGCTGACAGTTGGGAAAAACAGGTATCTCCTCATTAAGACACATCACAATGAGGTTGTTCAAGTAAAATACTTCTGTGACAAAAATGCCCAAGTTACTTTTTGAAAAGATTCAGCAAATAGCTGTTCTCTGATCCATCTTTGCTGCAGGGTACTCTGGAACCTCACTCGGTTTGTGGAATTTAAGGGCACTGGTGGAATTCACAGATTCCATACACCACATTCCTAAAATGTTGATAAAGACTGAGTTTCAGTTACTTACATGAAATTTTTAAAGGTCATCAAAATAAAAGCTGCAAGTTAAAACTCATCAGAATGCAGCATTATTTTTACAGCAATCTCTATTTTCCAGGTATTTATAAAGCTGAGTTGTTCAGCTCATTTCCTGTTATGAAGAAATTCTTTGTAATTTTGAGGTATGGATAGTGGCATCATTCATAAAGAGGTAGAGAATAAAATGACTTAAGGTAACTATTCCAATATATAACTTTTAGGGGTTTATAGCAATCGATTTCATGTTCTACTTACAAGCTATATTGAAGAATGTTATGTTTGTAAAAGAAATATTTGACCAAAATCGTCTTCCACTGTACTTCTCTCTTCCCCCTTCCCCAGTTACACTGAAGCCTTTACTCTCTTTTACCCTGGAGTGTAAAAAGACCCCATTCCTGGGGAAGTATCCAGTCCAGCTCTCATCAGGGAGTTGGGAATGTTCAAAATATTCAAAAATACATTTCAAAATCGAGGCATGCAAAATCAGAAGAAAAATAATCTCGTATATAAAAATATGTTTTGTGCTGACTGTATGTAGATAATTGAAAACACACATGGGTCTATTACAGTAACATATGTTAAATGTCATATCTTCAGATATTAAATCCTGAGTATTGAACCTGAATGTCAAAATAAATGTAAGGTACTACATTTATGTATTTTTGGCTATGTAAATATTCCTAAATATTACATTATGCCTTCATTTTACTTTCTTTTTTGAAAGAAAACCAATTTTACTTGCTTGTGGAACTTCAGCATTGATAAACAGTTTCTCTTTGAAGCTATATAAAAACTCATAAACTTGACTTTTATTGCATTTTTATAGAGCTCTTGTCAATATTCCAGAGTTTGTCTTCTGGTTGGTCTTCTAATGTGAGAACTTTTGTGTCAGAGAACACACAGTCCATGTCACAGCAAGACTTTCAATTTTATTTACTTTAAATAAAACTGTTTTCCTGTTTCAGGTGACAGAATTCTGTGATTATTTTTAAAAATGTGTTCCTTACATCTAATATTTAAAATAGTTTCCTCTCATCTGGCATTATTCCTGGTTTGTAAGCCTGTGTTCATTGCTTTCCATATCCATGGGTGGTATTCACTACACAGAGCTTTGGCTTGCTGTAAGTATAGAGGTGGCTTTGGCTCCAAAATCTAAATCCTAAGTCTAAATAACATTGTAGAAGTAGTTTTTATTTATGATATATAAATGCAATATCCTTCCCTGTGCAAAGTGCACTTTTGCAAGCAGATCTGTAATCTGAATTGAATAAATTCAATTGGTGGAACTCCACAGAGGAATGGAGCTGCCTGGATACAATGCTGTGTAGAACTGAGGATTTTTAATTCTTTTTACTCAGCAGAAAATAAATATATTTGGCTATTGTTTTGCAATGTTTATGGGAAAATTAAAATACCTAAATTTTTTCATAATCCTTTTTTTGCTTATTGCTTTTCTTATGGGTAAAATATTCTATTCTGTTATTCAAAGCTGTGTTGAAAGCGGAGATAATTCATGTCCATACAAATGTCAGGATTATGTATATGAGTTTTAAGTATTCACACTGAGTATAACTCTGATATGAGTAGAAAACATAGAATATTTTTCCAATACAAACCATAGATTTTTGAAGGACTGTATAATCCTCACAAACGTTCTGGGGCCCATTTTTCTCTGGGGCAGGTACCATGTCTTACATACACTGATTACACAAATAAATGCTAATAAATGAGGCATCTTTAGCTAATAATAGCAAAGATATAATTTATAGTACTAATGGAATTTACTGTATGTACTGCTATGGATTATACTTTCCCACTGTATAATCTGTTTTATTTCAACTGTAACTCAAGGATGGCAAAGGAAGGTCTGAATAAACATGAATTGGAGGTGCTGCAACTGAGCATAGGAGTGTAATGGTGGGAAATTTTTCCTACAAATGATCTCTTTGCAAAAAGTCTGATTTCCTCCAGAGAACTCAATCCAAACCCCTGATGTTAATAGAATGAGTGTGGCCCTTACACCATCATTCCTCGTGACTGATTTGTGCCATACAAAGATTGCACAGGAGGGAGTTTGCTCTGACCCCACCTATGCAGTTCCCACAAAGGCCACCACTGAAACTTCCCTCAGTGCCTGCCAGGGATTTCTGCACTGTGGAGGATGAGGAAGATGATGGCATGACTTTTAAAGAAGTCAACAGGATCATCAGCTGTATACAATGATTACATTTTTGCCTGCTGATATTAATCCATTCTTAAAAGGGAATGAAAACAATATGAAAAGATGGGAGTTACACCAAACCAGCAGTGTTTTACTTCTCTCATACTTGAGAATCAGATTCCAATTAAACAGCAATGATGGCTGGCTTTTGCATTTTCCTTTTCCCTTCCAGTATGATAGAGGACTAAAAAAAAGGAAGAGAGAAGGACAGAGGTGGTAAGGCATCTAAATATGACCAAGATGGTTTATGTCAATGAGCTCAGCAAAGGGATTAGCATGTGTTTATGTGGCTGTCTCATGGAGCTGGTTTGCAATGCTCCCTTACCCACTACATCCTTCATTGCTCATATTTCAAAGGTCTTTTTTTCAGAATTCCAAACATACAAATCAAAAGTCAAATTGTTAACTCAGTAGTGGAAATTGAAGCTGACTGACTCTGTCAAGTCAATGTTTACTATTAGAAATAAGTTTAAATTTCATGTCATCACCCAAATCTTGCACCCAGTAGCTTTGAGTGCTGACTGTGTCACTGTGCTGTGATACATGTTCGTGTGTTTGGGTTTAAGCGACTGGGAAGAGCAATTTCCCAATATCAGGCAAATGACTAAAAATTTTTTAAGGATAACTCAGCCATTGAACATAAAAGACCCTCCCATTTCATGTTACAATTCTCATCTTTACTGTGTCTCAGGAATGCTCTGATTCATCCCTATGGAACACTTCATGTACTATAGTTTAACTTTATATTTCCATCATGATACCAACAATTTGCCAAAATGGTAATTCCTCTCCACACCAAGTATTGCTCACTCTTAAATCAATGTATACTGTCTGCTTCCATCCCTGTTCTCTGTCTCAATTATTATTTTGTGTAAGATAAGAAAATCCCATTTTTACCACTGGAGAGCCAGGCTGCTTAGGTCACAAGATTCTCTTGGCTTAATCCTTGAGCATGAATCATGAACTTTCCCTAATAAGTCCCGGCATTCTTCAGATGATCAAGCGAGCTTACCAAGGCTTCCAGAGCTTTCCACATTAATTATCACCATGTTTAAAGTATCAAAAGCAGTAGCTGATTAAGAATTATTAAGACTATAAGTTGTTTATTCTTCCTTTTCCTTTCCGTCCTCTATTTCTCGCTCTCATGTGGTTTGATGTCGGGAATGGCAATAATACAACTCAGCTAATAGAAAACAACACATTAAAAAGATTATGAAAAATATAAAACAGACTGAAAATTATCAATGTGAAAAACTGGAAACAAATTTGCTTGCTTTCTACATTACACGGATCTAAATTAAGCTATAAATAATGCCCATGATTTCAGTTCAGAAAGAGCTTTTTTCTCATATTTAATATGAGAAAATTGTAAGAGAATCAGACTAAGAGTAAGCCTCTACTCTGCAAACTTAGAACCTCTGCAACAGTACACACTACTAAGAAGTCATCACAAATGCCATGTGATTAAATGAGTATTCTGTTAGAAATAAATAAGATAAAGACCTTAGAAAGAAAAAAAAAGAAATTATTTTTTAACACTTGAAAGTGGAAACAGAATATTCATTCTGGATTTATAGTACAGAAAATTGCTGGAATAAGTCTGGATTCTTCTAAGTGCTTTAAAACTGGATATGTGGGCACAGGAAAGATTTTATATTCGTGCCCCAAATTTAGATACCAAATCTAGCAGAAGTTAAACAAGAATGAGTAATTATTACCTCATTAAGTTTAGCTACCCAAAATATTTTTGCATTTTTACCAGGATTAACACATCTAAATAAAGATTGAGTAAATTCCTCAAAGAGTATTTTAAGAGTGGCACAGCACGACAGGATAAAAGTATATCTTATATTTGGAAAAAACAAGTTCTGTACTTAACTGGCAGTTAATTAACCATGTGTATGTGTGGGTCCATTACATGACACACCCAAGGCATAGTCAAAATCATCGGGGAACTTCTGTGGAGACAACAAATATTTTTACAATAATAGTGATTAAGCCTGAAAATAAAAGCAAAAAGCCCTGAAAGGAAATCAAAAGTGAGTCAAACCCACTGGTGGTTACTTTCATACTTCTCATCCAAAGTGAGTCAAAATCACCAGGCGTTACTCTCACATTCATCATCATATAAACTGTAATATAAGAATGCAGTCAAGAGGGAAAGAAGAAACAAGATGAAAAGAGCAAATCTAAGACACGGCTTTCATATTATTTCCAAAGCTGACAAATTTGAGAAGAATACTACTAAAAGTGGCATTAAATAGGAAATCCCTCTTTGAGCACTCCAAAGAATGAGTTCTCAAAGACAACTAAAACCAGTGGCATAATAAATCCTTCAAAATCAAATTCAGGTACTGTATTTAGATATTTACAAATTTTAAAAATACACAAAATATCATAAAGGTTCAGTACAGCCCTTTTTTGAGGCATGATTTAGTGACACACTTGAGCAAGTGAGTAGCTGAACATGGGTCTTGCTTCCAAGGACTTGGATAATTTAGCACCCAAGTTCAGGAAACGACTCTAAGTAATACCAACCTGATTCAATAAGCTATTTGAAGACACAGGGTGCTGAGCATTGAATTTAATATTTCCTATGTACTTTATCAGATAAAGAGAATCTTTCTCTGGAGTGAAGGTGTCTCTGCAGACACAGAAACATTCTCTAGTTCTATTGTTTTTCTGACAGTACAGTATACAGAAATTGTGTATAAAATCTAGCATGTATGGGTAGAGAGCGATGCCATCCCAGTCTTAAAAACCCATTATTTGTTAGAGATAAGCTCAAGCCACTTAAGTGAGAGCTAGACATAGATAAGCAACACTTTTGGAAAAAACCTTAATGTATCCTTTCCAGACTTGCTGAAAAGTCATGCAAAAATTTAAACTAAAATTTTAGGCTACTGCTGTGATGAATGTTTAGAGGAGAAGTATAAAGTTCTCCAGAAGCTGTATTGTTTGATTGTTAACTCTTTTTGTTCTGTTCCTCATTGCCTCTGAAAATATTTTGTTTTGTTTTTATGGTACAAATGTGCTTTTCAGCCTGTTTCACAATTCATGTAAGAAAAAACCCCAGCTCTAAAGCTCTGAATTCAACAAAATACAGCATAACATCTTAACCAAGTAAAGCATTGCCCTACATTCTGATTTGCAGACCTCAAAATAGAAATTAAATGTTTTACTTCAGCAATGTGGCAAATTTACTTCCTAAGACAAAAAAACTTCAAAAAAGTTACCTTATCTGGGTACTCCTTCCAACTCTACACTAGAAACTGTAGAATGAGAAACTGTGACCAGAAGTGATGATGTGCATGATGTGAATTAGTGGGAGCCACGTTCAGTTACTGTCATACAATGGCATAAATAAGAGGAAAAGATGACAGAAAAGAAACTATTTCCAATGTTGTTTTTTCTTTTGGATGAACTGAGTTTGCACAGAGTTACAAAAATGAACTAAAATTTTAAGGCCAGAGTACAGGCATGGCATGCTCCTAAGAAGAATCTGTCTGTTTGTGTCTTCCATATGGTGTACAAACACAAAAATAATGATGTATCTGAGCAAAAATACAACTTTTTATTTATGAAAAGCAAATTATTATTAAAACTCTTTTCAGATGGCTTTAAAAGGAACGATGATAAAAATAAAGGTAAGAATATAGCAAAAGTGAGATGATTTTGAGTGCTAGACAGATACACAACTAATTTCCTAGAAGTTCTATCAGATATTATTAAGTACATTTTTACCCAGAGAGCTCCATCAGGGATCCAGTGCAGATTGTTAATTAATTCTTCATATTCTCTATGTATGACTACATTAAAGTATTAAAAACCTAGCAATCTGAATTGCAAAATTTGGAAAGTCATGCTCTTCTGTCAAGTGAAGATACACAGGATTTACATCATCGTTCTCCTCAGTCAGGAGTAACTCCTCAGTTACTTCTGTTATTTGTTTTGTTTCATCTCTCAAAGGGACAAGGGAAGGAGAACAATATATTTTCTCTGAAAATACTGCTATTAATATATTATATCTACTTCCAAGTATTAAATTCAACTTAGTGTATGCAGTGATCAATAGACATGAACTTCCTGAGGCACTCAATAAGGCAGGAAGGCTGCAGGGATTTAACACCAACATAAGTCACAAGTACTGTTGGCTGTTCTCTCTCTTTCTGCCCTGAGGGTTTTCTCTTGCCTCATGTACCAGTAGTTTTACATGAGAAACCCAACTGATTTTTTTTTCTTATGCATTTAATACATTTTAATATATTAGTTCAGCAATGATAATTATATCAGTTTAACATTCTACACTTCTCCAAGTTGTGCATGGTCTTCATTTAGCTCCCTTATTTATTATGAGATAATGCATATGTATATGCACAGGATTCTTGCCACATCCCACCACTGTTTATGAATTCAAAAAGCAACTGAGTTTATTCTTTCTTCAGAACAAAGAATGCAGCATGTTATTTTTATGTACCACTAGAAAAAAAACTGATAAAGAGGAAATGAAGCAGGGGAACAGAAAAACAAAGTAAGAAATGAAATCCAAGTTTCTAATGCAGCGACGTAATGCCAAGAAACAGCTCCAGAGAAACTGAGTAACTGCCAGCTTTTCTACCTGTTGCCAAGAAAACGTTGCTGTGTTCACTGATCCTGTAATTAAACTGAGTATGTTCTGAAACAACTTCTGAATTGTGCCATCTCCTGTGAAGGGGGAGGGAGCTTCATTCCTATAATACACCAATAGAAAGATGCTGCTTCTCTAAAAACTAGGTAGAAGGGCGAGCTTGGTTTAATCATGTACACACATTCTTTAAGGAAAAAAAAATTAACATTTGGAAGGAGAAATCTTATTGCATACAGACCTTTGAAGGGAAGCACAGAACTATAATTTGCATAATTCAAAATACTAATGTGAAGGGCAAAAAGTTTTAATAGCCATCCTTTAATGTCCTGTAAAAACAGCAGTCTCACTGCCTCCTGTTCTTTTACCAACATTTTTAAAAAGGGAGTTATTAATTGTAGTGTCTTGTAGTAATTTCTAGCTAGGATTTTTAATATTTAAGTCATTACAATTACTCATGCTAGGCAATATGTTTGTAGATAAGTCTGTCAATAAACCAGATCACACCAGTACACTGCTGCCACAGATTGTCTTGTTCAGCCCAATGTTGTTTAACCAAGATTTCCTGAAGGCTGACTATATTCTCTTTACCTCCACTGTAGTCCTCTGGGGTCTTCTGCTAACAGTTTATTTTACTTTGCACAGCTTTTCTCCATTCCTCCTTTTACATCTGATGTGTTAAAGAAATGTTGGCTTTTCTTGGCTGAATCATCCCTTGCTCTGTGGCTGGCTGTGCTGGGCAGGACAGGCCCTCTCAGACACCAGTCACACAGAATCTCATAACAACTGGGCTTGGAAAGGACCTCTGGAGATCATGTAGCCCAGGCCTCCTGCTGAAACAGGTCCACCTGGAGCAGATAGCACAGGATCACAGCTTTATTGCATCAAGAAATGTCTGGATCACCTACTAAACACGTGAGAAAGCCCTTGCTTCCAAGACAGTTCCAAATATTCAGCAGAGGAAATTTGGAATCCCAATGGAGGACACCTGAGTTTCCCCTTAACTCCATAGCTCCTTTACTCTTTCTCTATGATCCTAAGCACACTTGTACAGAACCATTCCAAGCAAAAACATCCCTGTAAAGTCTCACTGCTTCTCTGAACTGCATTCAGCTCGTCCTTAGATTCAGAGCTCAAAAAATCAATGCAGTCCAACTTCCTTGAAAGGTCCTTCACATCCCTGGACACTTTCCCACACTCAGTGTGAGCTCTGCTGTTTAAACGACACCTCATGTAACTTCAAGCCACTTTACTGAACTTTCTTTTTAAAGATACAACGTTTATGGAACTAAGAGCTACTGTAAGTAAGAGGAGTTTTAATGTAATTTTTGTAATATGAGAGGGAATTTAATTTGTCTCTGTATCTAAATGATCAAACATGAAACATGTTTTGGTTTGGTCATTAGTTTCTCCAATCTTTTTCTTATTACCTATAATTAAGAAACCAAGCATTTCATTCGATATGAAGCAGCCCAGAAAATAGCAGTAAAAAATGTCTGCTTGTAAATTAAACTCATTCTCTAATTGCTTTGCTGTAATTTACTAAAATTATCTCTTGTATGCCACCACTTCAACTAATTCTACAAAGAATCCAGGGGAAAAAATAAACAGAATTCAGAGTAATATATTAATGATTATCAAGCTCCACTATTTTCAGTTTTACTGTTCATTGTTGTTAATTATCTCAACAGTTACTGGAAAATGATGATTAGGAAGGAAGACCTCAGAAAGCTGATTGAGGATAGCATGTGTATACTTGGTAGTCAAAATGTAAAAAAACCAAAAAAAGTTTAAAAACAGCGTTACAGATAGTCCCCAAAGATGACCAGCCAGCATGTCTGGGCCAGTCTGTTTGCTGTTCATGACCAATGCTCATGTTAGTCATTCACTGACTCTGTTCATGTCAGTGAAGCAAAATGTACTCTGTTAAGTTCCACACTTCCAATCATACCCAAAACTGATCCCATGGACTAAGGGTCTGTCTGCTGTAGATCTGGCCAAACACAGTTTTTCATTCTTGTGCTGGTCAGAAGTTTATCTACTGGCACAGCATAGCCAGAGCTGAGAACATTCCACTCGTGACCCACTTTTGTCACAATCCCTTCACACCTGTTCATTGCTGTAGCTCTGGGACAGGAGGGACTTGAGGGGAAATACAGCTGTTGCATTTGTGTGGAGATAAGCTGAGAAGCCTTTTGTGCCAGAGGTATCCTATACCTGTCAAGAGCACCTCTCACTGAGATCACATCAGCTCCAGCTGTGGAGTGATTCCAAGCCACAAAGAGAGTTACTTCCAGAGGCAACTCAGACTTTAGGAAGGCTGAGTCCTGAAAAGTAACTCACTCTGAAAGTAACTTTCTGATGATGACACAGGACCTTAAGATGACTGCACTCAAAATGTACAAACCAGCACCTAAAGTATGTGGGACGAGACGCGGTCTGTGAATCACTGAATGAAGGGTTGTTAACAGAAGAACACTTCCTCCTTAGTGCAATGGAAGTATTTTTCAACTTTACATAAAGATTGATTTTCTTGTTCTCACATGCAAGAAATGCTCAGAGTTGAGGACTCCAGAAGACTTCATGTGTGTTGTTCTCAGTCCGTTTCCCTTTGATCCTCTTCCCCCGTGCAGCGATAGGACTGTCAGGACGTGCAGGCTGACAGGTTCACTCTGCAGCGAATAGCTGAGCAGAGCTGACACCCACACTCCATTTGGAGGTGGTGAGTTGCGTTGTTTTAATTCTGTTTTGGCTTGTTTAGTTGATGAGTAACAGATCAGAGTTGTTCAGCAGACAGAGAACTCTGCTCCTGATCTACCTCCAAAACAAACTCAGAAGCAAAGCCAGGTCACTCCTAATTTGCTGCTTGGTTCTGTCCTGCTCTCTATTGGTGATGATATCAGCACCATCCCCTGCCTTCAGTGGACATGAATACACCCAGGTGGCACATTAACCATCGTTGCTTCTGTTCCTGATATCAACTAATTAATTCTTGTACTTCTAAGCCAAGCTTTGCTGTTCTGACAGTTGAGCAGAGAATGAGCAGTTAGCTGTTGGTGCTGATTCATTATCACCTGTTGTTTCTCAAGCTGTCAGCAGTGACTCCATATGCAGCTCTTTACATTTTCACTGCTGAGCATTTCCACTTGCTATGGACCAAGTGGAAAAAGGTTTCCATAGAGCTGTGTCTCATGACCTAATCAACCACTTTTTTTGTGCAAACTGGGAGCTCCTCTCTGTCTCGTGATTCTTTAGTAATTACGTTCTAACATTCAATTCTAGCATTCAAGACACCAAAACAGAAAAAAATATATGTACAAGACCCCTTTGTAAAGTCCCACCAAGTTGACCATAATTTTTGAGTACTTTTCAACCACCACTAAACCTACAGCAAAAGACTATGCATAAATTTCCTGCAAGGAAGGCCAGAAGGCAGGTGCAGTGTTGTACTGTACCTGTTCAAAGGAGACCTCATTCCATAAATATTGTGTTTTCAGTAGCCCTTGCAGTTGTCATCAGGAGAGCTAATAAAGCTGGCTGGGAGGAACAGCTCAGCCTCTTTGAGCTTGTTTCAGCACTCTCATCCTACATTTCTGCCTCTTTCCCCGTGCTCTCCCTGACAAAAGGAATCCCAGCACACCGGGATGTGCATGAGGAGCCACCGCCTTTCTCAGGGGCGACGTGGTATCAGTAAGAAGCATCTCGTGTGAGATGTGACATCTCACAACTTGCACAATGTTCTTAATCACATAATTTGGAGGGGGAAATTCAATCTGGCATACAGCCCTTAATGTATGACCTAGATTGCATTTCCCTAGATAGTTTATAAGAATGTTGAGACATTTTTCAAAAGCCTTATTAAAATTAAAATATACGGCTGCCTACCCCTCATTCAGAAGAGCCGCTCCTCTGTTGTAGAGGGAAATCAGACTTGCTTACCATGGTTTGCTGTTCACAAATCCATCCTGTTACTCACCTCCTGCTTATCTTCTGGATGACTGCAAATTATTTTTCTTAGTTTATTCTACAATTTTTTATTTTTACGCTTAGTGAAAGAGAAGTGAGTTGGATCCCTGAATAAAAGTAATATTTGCAGTTAAGTCACAGGAAAGTTCACCTGTCCTTTGCAGTTTGTAACAGTAAAAGACATTTAATTTGATTAAGTGCTTTTAAAATGGATTTGTTTCTCCATTTTTCTTCTTGACCTTATATTGTCTTTAACACACATGACTACCCTTTACAGCTCCATCAGATTAATTTCTGTAGCAGTTTTGTGTTCCACTGTCTCCTTCCTTTTTGACCATCCTCCACAACATTCAAGTTCTTATTATCCTATTAATAACCATTTTAAAATCTTCCATGTTATTAAAAAATGTGTTATTAATGGAATTATAATTAAAAATTTGCTGTTCCTACAGCTCATCCTCAAAACATTTAAAAAAAGAAAACACAATCAGTTCTTGCCTAAAATCCATTACAATAACATTGTCACATGAGTTACGAAAACTGTTTTTTATATTCCAGTGGATAGAAGCAAATCCTTTATTGCTGCACATGACTTTAAAAAAAAAAAGAAATAAAACCTTGAGCTTTTTATACCAAGGCATATTTTGACAATTCAAAAATACATGGATTTCAGACAAGCTTTGCAACAGGTGAAACTGTATTTTTTAGAGCAGTAGAGACATTAAATCATCTTTCTGTGAGGCAGGTTGCATACTTGCCATTGTTTTATTAGTCTCATGGCTTAAAATTAATTGCTTGTTGTAGGGAGTTTTGGATTTCTTTTTTAACTTCAATCTACAAGCCATTGAAACTAAAAGTGGTTTTTCTCTATGGATGTTTATTTTATGTATTACCACATAGGCCATTTGGAACATAACAGTAAGAAGTGCTTTTTATATACTCAGAAGCATGAGTTTATAAGAAAAGATTTGACACATAGTGTATAGGTTAGTTCAGTACTTACTTAACCACATCGGTTGCGAAATGCTGAACTCAAACCAGCTTACACAGGATTTGTTTTAATTTCTCTCTGTTGGAAGAAATAAAACATATAATTTAATCCAAATTCCAACGGCCTGCTCTGATTTTTACAAGTACATGCCATCTAAAATGTACTAATAATGCCAAAAAATGAAACACTGAATGTTCTTCTATTTATTCTCCGTGTATCATTTTCTCATTTTGGTAATCACTCTCTAAAGTGATGGTAACTGAAAGAATCCAAAACATATGTTTTTGAAAGTTATTCCTTAATACAGACCTTGAACACCTTTGTGGTGTGGGGTTTCTTTGTGTCTAAATGAAAAACAAATTGTCATGACTCTTTTTTTTTAATGCCTCACTACAATTGCCTTTTTTCTTACTGAAGATTGAGACAGAAAGCTGTGTTTTTCTCCCTAGATCTCCTGCTAAATATGACAAATGCATTTCATTTGTGTAGAAAGATAAATATGGTTCAATTATGAGAAAGTAATTTTTGGACCTGAATTGTAAGGGATTAACTATTACATTTATAAAGATTTCTGGACTGTTACAGTAAACACTTCTTTGCTCAATGCATTTAGATGACAATTTACTAAGTCAATCTGCAGGGTCATTCAATTACATTTTTAGAGTGAATTACAGAAACAAGGATGTGGAATTCATTCTGGACAGTGCAAAAGAAAAAGTCTTTCCTTTTTTAGTTGCTACCACATAAGCCTATTTCATGTGGGCTTTCTAATGAGGACTCTGCCTTCAGAAAATACTCATTGGAAGACTTTCTCAGTGCTTTCTACCAGCATAAGAAAACAACAAGAAGCAGCATTTCTATCATGATTCAGGGGGTTAATTTTCTGTAGATATGCAAAAAATACTGTTTCTCTGAATCTGCACTGTCTGTACAATCTGGGGAAAGAGATGGAAGGCAAAAAAGCTGCCTCCTGGAAGTGACTACTTGAGGGGAAAAAAAAGGTGCCCATTTTCTGGGTGGGGACTGACTCTTGAGGGCCTCTTGAGTAACTAACTGAGACTAAATAGCCAATTTTTTTAAAAGGTGGGGTGAGAACATTGTTAGAGAAGAGATAAAAACTCTCTTGAGCAAGGATCAGAAGAACAGGCTCTGGTCACAGAAATTACCAGGGAACTGGTCCGTCAGAGATGGGTATTTGAATACACACAACTCATAGCTCTGAAATTAATGTGGTTGTTTTTTTTTTGTAATTGGAAATTCCCTCAAACTAATCCTTCAGAACTACAGACAGCTGCATACCAAATGTAAGCCTACAGGCAGTAGGCCAATTTGTATTGTGTAGCACATATGCAGCACTGAAGACTATCATGGCAACAACATTGCTACTACAGGAACTTTTTGTAAGCCTAATGGTAGCAAAAAAAAGCTTATTTTAAACTAACATTTACTCTTCAAGTTTCCAGCTAAATGTAGCTTTCACCTGCATGTAAGGTAATCTCACTTCACCTCCCTCCAACAGTCACATGAAGGATGCACCTTGTCTTACCAAAAGAATTGGTGGAAAGGTTCGACTCACATTCTTCACAAGTAAAAAATGTCCCTTGACATTAAAACTTTTCCTTAGGAGGACACACACGAAGTGCCTATGATATATATATATATATCTATATATATATATACACACCACAATACAACAGTGATTTTAAATGCACACACGCATATAAATTAAAGGAGCCAAAAGTATTGGTAACAATAATACCATGTTTCCACAGTGCAAAGCTTGTGCCCAGAAGTTTAGAAATCTCACCTTACTCCTCCTATTGGGACTGTAAAACATTCAAATGGCACTGCTCATCATTATGGCCCATTTTCAGACTCATTTGGTCTGCTGCCTTAAAACTCTGCATGGTCTCAAAGAGCAAATTTCATAACCTAAGTGAATTTCTTTAAAAATGGCACTTCCTTTCTAGGGTTTTAGAGCTTTAGGACTACTGTGGTTTGGTTTTAAATCACAAAGTTAAAGTGTCTCAAATACTCTTTGTCATTATTTTATCAATAAAACTTATCAAAGTCTATATGCCAGGAAGTCAGCAAATCTGCTCTTAATCACCAGTATACCTGTGAAGCCTTAGGTGTTATTCTGGAAATTACATTCCTGTGTGACAATAATGCTGTTTTAACCTGCAATAACCTTCTGAAGGTACTGCTGAATTGATTCAGGAAAATAAATCTAATTATTTATATATGTGCACTAAAAGGTACCAAACTACCCTAATGCTGTCCAGTGTATTCATTTAAACCAGTTCCTTTTCACCCTTCAGATAACACAGCCAGTTCCATATTGATATTACCTTCCTGCTTTTGTAAACTTCTGACACCTTTTTCTTTGCTGTTCTCTCTTCTTCTCAACAAGAGCAGCTCCTTCATTCTGTTTGATAAAAGGAGAATGCTGTGACTAACATAGCGCATAAGTTTAACAACATCTTCAAAAATACCAGTTTCAAGGACTTTAATATGTTAATTTGATAATAAATTCATTTTTATGAATATTGCACACGTTCAAGGACAAGTAAGATTTCTAATAAAGATAGGGGATTGAACTACATGATGTGAAAATTGCTGTCAACAGGAGGAATGACAACTGGCCATCGCTAGACACTGTAGAGGCAACAGAGGGGCAGGTAGCAGATCTCTGTCCAGAGAGAGATGCCCTTGAAATACAGAAAGCCACAAAATAATAATAGGACAGGTAAAGAAACAGGGCAGATAAAGAGGGCTGTGGGAGAAGAGCAAGATTTCCTCATTGTATTCAGCAAAGCATTTATTTCAAAGTAGCCTGGATATGTCAAGGGGCATAAGACCTGAGATTATGTAGTGCTTTGGTCCTGGAAGCCTTCTGAACCCAAATGCTTCATTTCCTCCTGAACTAGGTGGGTCAGTTCAGACAACACCACTGTCTGCCTAAGAGCAGGATAAGCTATAGGGCACACATCAGCCTGGGGAGCAGCTCGTGCCTCTGAAATTTCCTAGTGCCAAGCAAGTGCCTGGGAATCACCTCGATGGATTCATAAGGGTGGAAAACTCTTCCTGCAGCTCTGAGCAATCAAGATAGAAAAATGTGTCAAAAATCATCCTTTTATATGCAAATACTAGTGTGCTGAAAATGTAAGATAACAAGAGCATACAGTGATTCACAATGGCTCCAGGAGTTCTTTGGATTACTGGGAGGAACTTTCAGCTCTGCTTTTTTAAGCACAAGTCAGTATTTCTCAGTGAGCACTCCTGATTAGAGTCATGGCTTCATTTTATTTTTTTACTTTCTTGACCTTTTCTATCTGGGACAACATATTTGTGTTTTGTGAGCTTCCAAGGATGAAGGTTTTATTTCTTTCTTTCTTTCTTCCCATTCTAGTGTGTGTAGGACAAATTCTTTGGGGATGAATAGAAGCTATTTGGCCTACAAAACTTGTCCTTTTTTGGTTCTATCTTTCTCCCATGATGTCATGCAGTTATTTTTCTGAATGACTTCAATGTGTTTGCCTCAACAAGTCTGCTATTTTGTTATTATTATTATACATTTCATCTTTTTAAAAGGAAAGTTCCACCCTTTCATGAAAAAAAAAACCCAAACCAAAAAAAACAAAACACCCTCAAAAAACCCCAAAACAAAACAAAACAAAAAAAAAAGGAACAAAAACCCCCCACCAAACAGCAACACATTTTTCTTTTCTCTTTTTTTCCCTTTTGGTTCTTCATAATATCTGGGAACTGTATTGTAAGGGATGTATAAGAAGGTTCTGTAAAAATTAGCTCTGGGTTTCCTGCTACAGTTTCTGTATTGAGAGTCTCTGATAACATCAAGCTGACTGTAAACAATGAGTAGGTCTCTTATACAATTTTAGTATTACAGTTTTTCAATCTGTTATTGTCACTATCTCTCTACTCCATTCTAACATTTCATTATTATTATGAAAGTATATTATATTTGATACAATTATATTAGCAGGAATTAAAGAAAGATCCCCCCCTCCCCGAAAGACAAATTAATTTAATTTCCTAAAAAAATTATTCAAAAGAAAGAAAATTCTAAAAGAATTGTAAAGACTTCTGTAAAACAAAAAGTTCTGTGGTAACTGGAAATATACAGAGAATTCCCTCTCATTTGGCTTCACAAGTGAAGGGGACAAATTCCAGATTGCTAAAACAGAATTTTTGATTGCTATAATGGAATTTGCAAATGTGGAGTTTGGAAAAACTCTGTGGGGCAGCAAACCTGAATCTGATAAGAAGATAATTTGTGACACTGACTACCTTCCCTGCCTTGCCTCTTGGTAAAACACAGTTTTATGATTGTTGGCCTCTCAGTGCTAAAATAAGCACCAAGTATTTCCTGAGAAGCTTGAGGAAAAGCCTCTAGCACAGCACTTTTTCTCTACTAGTGAGAATTTATAATAGTGTTTTGTCTCTTGAGAATAAATTGCATTTAAATGGCTCCTGTGTACACACTGTGCTCCAAGGTGTCCCCGGGCCTGTGCCAGCAGCAGTTGTGAACAGCACCAGCCGTGTCCTTCCCCAGGCAGCACTTACAGGGGGGCTGAGCCTCAGGAGGGGACTCAGGACAACTCCCGTGGCCAGGGGAGAGCTGGACAGGGGAGAGCTCCACTGGAACCCCACCACAGACCACTGTCCCAACCTGCCCCTCACATCCCTGCTCTGCTCTGTGACACAGCACTGTTATTTATATAATATTTTAAATCCTTACAAATATTCAGTTGCTGTTGGCTTATTTCCCCTTTATCCACTCAAGCCCTTGACACACCACAGCTGTTCAAAGATTCTTTTTTAATCTTGAAATTATTTTCATATTTTAAGTTAAATTCAAACCCACACGTACTCACCCAGTTTTTTGATTTTTCTCACTTCTTGAAAGCCCTATGAAACTCAGATATATCCATTATGAATTTTCATCCATTTTGACATCAGATATATTCTTCTGTACATTTGATCACTGACAGAATGACATGCCTTTGCAAAGCCCCTTACCTAGCTTTTAGATTTGAACAATTTAATATCAAACATTTGAATTCAACACTCCACAAAATCCTGAGTAACTTCAGAAGTTTAAAACAAGACTTTTCATTCCTTTTCCATATTCCCAAATCACTTGTACAAAATAATGCCCCTCTGTTAGGAGCTCTGCTCTCTGAAACCCTTTGTATGTGCTGTGACTTTATTTGTATTATCTCACAGTGTGTTCATTTCTAACCCAGCAGGTAAAAGCAAGGAGGAGCCCTGGAAATAAAACAGGAGAAATAAAACCTTTGTGCTTTTCTTTCATGTTCTTCAATACCTGTCTAGGAAGAGCCCAGAAGAAATCCACATTAGAAAGGCACACAGGAAAGCTGTCAAAGATTTTGATTAGGCAAAGAAAGAACCCAGAAAACACAGTCACACAAATATTTGCACTATGGGAATGTGGTAAGAGAGTCTCTCTCTGGTTATCAAGATAAATTATGTTGTAACTGCCATTTCTCTCGTTCTCCAAGTTCTCAATGAAATTCAGCTGGCTAAAATCTCAAGCTGCTCAGACTGTGGTCTCTCTCAGGAGTTGCTCTATGTAATAACTGTATTTTTTTCTTCTTTTTCTTTTTTTTTTTTTTAAATTCGTGCGCTTTTATTCCCTCTCATGCAAAAAAAGAAAACATCTCATTCTGCAAGGGAAAATTTAAAGAACGGAACTCAATATTTACACTGTTTTTGTTCACTTATAAGTCATGCTTTATGGTAGTAATGCATGGGATTGTCTATGCATTTCTTTTTCCACTAAACTGAGAAATTCAGCTTTATATTTTCTGCATATTTGCAATACAGCTGTGTTCTTCACTACCATAAACAACCAGTAACATCCAAAAAATCTGCTTAGCTTCTTACTGGAGTATATATCAAGCTGTTAGAATATTTATGTTGTGGAGTAGGGGGGGCGTGGAATAATTACTCACTAAATGGAATGTTTAGAAAGAAAATACAAAATTAAAAGCACAGAAACCCCTCCACCCTTTCTTTTCTGTCTTATTAGCTACAATTTTCTAATAGATTGCCCATACAGATCAACTGATACAAATTACAAACTGTAAATATACATAACATGCTATGTATTAGTAATTTCATATTTTTAACTTATAAATCATCTGGTCCTTTCAGGAAATACACTGTTTACTGAAAAGATGTTTTACAAAAGAGAGTGGATTCAACAGGTATTGGAAGCTGCAGGATGCAAAGGATGCAGCAAACTCACTGGAGTTTAATTATGGCCCTGGCTTATCAGAAAGTCAGTTATCCAAAGTATTTTGAATTACTAGAAAAATAGTATTTTCCTGAGACTGAGAGGAACTGAGAAACTTTTTAGCACAACTGGAGAGCGTTTTTAGCAGACAACCACAACACTGAGAAGCTTCCTGGAATCCCAGAGGTGCCTCTGCCACTTTGCCACACTCAGATGTGAATCATCTGTAAGAAAAATAGTAGTTGACTTACAGAGAATATTTTTCTATTGCATAAGCTTTGCAAAGGTTCAATAAGCTCAGGAGATAAACCCAATCAATATAAAATGATTGTTTACATGTGGATTATTTAATTCTAAATATTATGTTTCTGTCAATAAAAATGAAAACATAAAATAAAAAACATCTGGAGTTAAAAGGTAGAAATTTTGGGGGCCTTATTCACTCCTTTGTGGCACTTGACACACACATGCACTTCTGTGCAAACTGTAAGTAAAACAAAGATTGTGTACTCAGTGTTTCTAAGAGTTATTTGCATTAATTTTATCTGTTATGTAACAGACACTGGAGAGAGCACAAGGTGAGAGGTGATTTTTACCTGTTGATTCCCCTTTACAAGTTACACCTGTAGCTTTATATGTGCATTTGTGTGTGCTCAGGAGATGATTGGAGTTTTGCTGCTCAAGATTTAATCCCCAGCACAGTTTTGTATGAATGCTGAACTCTTTCTGCACCCAGGCTGCTTAGTCATAGTGCAGTTGGGAACCCGATCTTTAAACAGAGCAATCATAAAAATTAGTCACCGAAAATCTTAATTATTAAAGATGATTAAGGCCTGAGAAAGGTCAACTTAATGTTGTTCCCAGCAAGTTACCTCTTAACAAAATATTTTTTTTCAAACATCTGGATTCTTACAGAAATTGTAAATGACAAAGTCATTACACTTCGTACTTATTTAGTAACTACTACAAGGAGTGACAGGAATTACAGAGAGCAGAATTAATGCTAAATCCTTGAAAATAGTCCATTTATACAGCTACCAGTCACTCATATTAGGTGGTTCACATGTGAAGCTGATACTGTAAAGAAAAATCTCTAACTTACAGAGACAAAGCCAGTTCAGAACATTTGCAACTCAGCAGATTTG